ATTTTTAACCAATTTAAACCTCTTTATACCGGTTTTCAACCGGTTCGTACCGGTTTGCGCTGGTTTAAATCGGTTTTTAACCATTTTTAACCAGTTTAAACTGGATTTTTACTGGTTTGAACTGGTTCCTCACCGACTTCAACCGGTTTAAACTGGCTTATATTGGTTTGAACCAATTTTAACCAATTTAAACCAGTTTAACCGGTTTAAACTGGCTCAAACTGGCTTTTAACCCGCCTTAAACCGGTTTAGAAGTGACTTAAAACAGTTTAAACTGGTTTAATCCCCTTTAAACTGGTTTAATCCCCTTTAAATCGGTTTAATCCCCTTTAAACCGCTTTAATCCTCTTTAAACCGGTTTAATCCCCTTCTAAACCACTTTAATCCGCTTCAAACTGCTTTAATCCCTTTTAAACCCGCTTAATCCGCTTCAAACCGGTTTAATCCCCTTTAAACCGGTTTAATTGCCTCTTAAATCGATTTAATCCCCTTTAAACTGGTTTAATCCCTTTTAACCCTGTTTAACCCCTTTTAAACCGGTTTAATCCCCTCTTACACCAGTTTAATCCTTTTTAAACCGGCTTAATCCGCTTCAAACCGGTTTAATCCCCTTCAAACCGGTTTAATTGCCTCTTAAATTGATTTAATCCCCTTTAAACCTGTTTAATCCCCTCTTAAACCAGTTTAATCCTTTTTAAACCGGCTTAATCCGCTTCAAACCGGTTTAATCCCCTTCAAACCGGTTTAATCCGCTTCAAACCGGTTTAATCCCCTTTAAACCACTTTAATCCCCTTTAAACCGCTTTAATACTCTTCAAACCAGTTTAATCCCCTTTAAACTGCTTTAATCCTCTTTAAACCGGTTTAATTCCTTCTTAAACTGGTTTAATCCCCTTTAAACCGGTTAAATCCCTTTTAAACCAGTTTAATCCTCTTTAAACTGTTTTAATCCCTTTTAAACCAGTTTAATCCCCTTTAAACCGTCTTAATCCACTTCAAACCGGTTAAATCCCCCTTAAACCGGTTTAATCCACTTCGAACCGGTTTAATCCGCCTCAAACCGGTTTATTCCGCCTCAGTTTCCTGCCCAATCACGCGGCGGCGCTGGAGCCCCACCCCCAGAAGGTTTTTTGCGCC